GGGAGGAAAGACCAGAATTTCAGTTTCGGTCAAGTTGAGTTTAAGGAAGTGGGCAGCCATCCAGTTAGCAATAGAAGAAAGGCAGTCAGAGATACTAGTCAAGAGGGAAGGGGAAAGATACGGAAAGGACAGGTAGATTTGTGTGTCATCCACATAGAAATGATATTGGAAGCCAAAGAAGCAAATGAGTTTACCAAGGGCGGCAGAATAGATAGAGAACAGTAGGGGTCCAAGGACTGAACCTTGGAGGACACCAACAGAGAGGAGTTGGTTAGAAGAAGCAGAGCCAGAGAAAGAAATACCGAAAGAGCACTGGGAGAGGTAGGAGGAGCACCAGGAGACAACAATATCTTGTAGACTGATATTACGGAGGATGAGAAGAAGCTGGTGATGATCAACAGTGTCAAAAGCCGCAGACAGGTCAAGGAGAATTACGATAGAGTAGTGACCACAAGATTTTGCAGCGAGTAGATCATTGTGTGTGGGTCAAAGTCACCCACCTGGCTTTATAAATTGGTAGCTTGAGTTAACATGGAAACCTGGGTTACTTCCTAATAGTAAACAGATGGGGACTGAAATATCATCCACAGTTTTCCATACATGTAGCTGCTGCCTGGAAAACAAACGTTTCCTTTTCTCCCAAATAAACCAATATCAGATTGTAAAGAACTGATGTCACAAGATCTAACTGTTAGAGATTTAGTTCTGAAGAGATACAATAGCTGGAGAAGAAGGTTTGTCTTAACCACGTATATGTAACCAAAGAACATGAGGTTTTAATGAGCCCATCTCACCATTAGCTGTTTCAGTTGTGGAATTATAGTCTCACAGGTGTCTCTGTACATTCCATCCAAAGAGGAAGTTATTTTAATGCTCAATGATTTAACACAAGTTTATTGCCACTTAAAAAGATTAGTTGTTGACTGGGTCACCCGAGGGCCATTGAGAATCATGTTTAGAAGTTAGCTTTTAGAAGGGATAATTTCAAAACCCCAAAACATCAAATTGTGATAATGTAGCATTGGGAATTGAAGCAGATTGGCAAGTCAGTGTGTGCCGAAAATTTATCAGCAAATAAGTTCAATCTAGATTCTTTCTTCACCACTGACAGGTGAAGTGAATAATAATTATATCATTACAATGGCACATGTCAAGGGGTGGTATATATTAGACAGCAAGTGAAAAGCCAGTTCTTGAATTTCATGAGTTGGAAGCAGGAAAAATAGGCCAGCAAAAAGATCTGAGTGACTTTGTTGAGGGCCATATAGTGATGGCTAGACAACTGGCAAGAGCATCTCCAAAATGGCAAACCTAGGCTGTCTCCCTGTAGCTTCTTACCCATACTTGTGAGACATCACTGGACACAAATATGAGTGCCTTAGAGCAGTAAAACGAATAATGACAATGATATCAACAGTGAAAGTACAGCTTCTGTATGAAAAATGCAAAAAAACTAATATGAACACTAACTTTAGCCAGGGTTTGTGATTGTCTACTAAAAAAAGACTGGACATACCCCATTTTTGACTACCCTGGGTTGTCTACTTTTACAAATGGTATGCCATGATGTCGGTATTTTTCATTCCTGGGATGCCATATGGTGTCAAAGTCAACATGATCAATTTAGCAAATTTCAATCAGTATAAACTGAAACAGGCAAGCTTTATATTTGACCCCAACACTTCCTAAAATTCCATAAAACCTGTATGTGGGGTGTACTGTTGTAGTCGTGAGACAACGCTGAACACAAATATAAGTGTTTAAAGGCCATGTGTTAAAATTGTTTAACGTTAAAATGCCATGTACAACTTTTCTCACACTCTTTTTTTTTAGAATTTATTCATATTAAATTATGTTTCACATATAATATTTTAATGTGAAATGAAAACCCTGTTTATCCTGAACTTAATGACATATAATAAGTGCGGGTACATTTAATATGAAATATGAGGTAAATCATAGCTGAACAGACATATAGCTAAAATTCTAGGCCTCTCTTCAGAACTTGGACTATTGCCACTGTCCTTAAAGGGTTAAACTAATTGGTGATTGACAGCTGTTTATTTTTAGACTACAAGAAGACTTATATCACACATCTGAATCTTTAATTTTGTTCTTTTTTACTAAAAGGCATATATGTTCTTCTATTCTATTTTCCCAAGGATCTAAAACAGTGGAACAATCTATATCTGTCAGGGTTTCTTTGCTGTTTTAAACATCAACCCTTCCTTTCTCTGTGTCTGAGCTTTCAGCTGATTTTAACGATCAGCTCCTTCATTAATGTTGCCACAGTTACTCATCTGATTGTAGTAACCAGCCCTGCTGCTAATCAGTGCAGCCTATTTAAGCAGCAAGTTCCAGTACCTCCTTGCCCTTGCGTGGTTTCCTGTTTCCCAGAAGACTCCCTGTTTCCTGTGAATTCCTGGTTCCTGGCTTCTGGCCTTGTTCCTGACTCCGCTGCTCTCCTTTCTCCTGATCCTGGCTCGTCTGACTACCTGATTTGGTGCCTGACCCCTGCTTGCCTCCTGGACTTTGCTTTTGGTTTATGTCATTATTTGCTGTTTATAATAAAGGTGTTTTGCATCTACGTTCTGTCTCTGTCTGGTTCCTAGTCCCTAACATTACGCAAGGGCCATGAATACAGATGGAACAGGCAATCCACCTATACCTAACCTATTTACTTAGTCGAACCAGCAGAACCACCATGTGCACATGCACTAAAGACCCTCCTGATTCGTACATCTGGATCCAGCACCCGGCCAGTCTGCCTCACTTTCTGTTCTAGCACCGATTGTAGCCTCCGAACCTGTTGTGGATAAAAGGAATGACTGGGTCTGTCCCGCTTCCTCAGTATTTTGGGGTCAACAAAGCTCAGTGCAGAGGATTTTTAAACCAGGTTGGAGGATACCTTAAAATGGTTCCCCAGGCATTTCCTACTGACAGAAGCAAAGTTGGGTTCATGATTTCTTTGCCTGATAAAGCCCTAGCTTGGGCAAATCCTCTCTGGGAGGCAGAGAGGCCCATTATTACAATTAACCTGAATTTGTTGCGTCCTTTAAAAGGGTATTTGATATTCCAGCTTGCTCCACCTCTGCTACCAAACAGCTCATGTCTAATGCACAGGGCACGAGAACAATTGTCGACACTGGCAGCAGAGGGTGGCTGGAACTAGACTCTCATGGCTGCTTTTTCATATGGGCTCTCCGATGCTATTAAGGATGAAATTGCAGTCAGAGAATTAACTAAAGATCTCGAGGAACTGATATCGTTTGTCATCCTCATTGATATCGGACTCCGAGAGATCCTCATTCAGGGAGCGCCTGCTGAGGTCTCCTGTATATTTGACTCCAAGCCTTTCTTCCCTACCCAAGCCTCTCTCACCTCCCAAGCCTCCTGGTTCTGAGTTCTCTGGTGGTGTGGAGCCAAGGCTGTTAGGCTTCACATGCCTCTCTGTCGGCGAGAGGGCCTTTAGGAGAAGGGAAGGCCTGTATCTATATTGCGGCTACCAGGGTCATATGTTAACCCCTTAAGGACACAACTTCAGAAATAAAAGGGAATCATGACGGTACATATAACAACTCCAAAGCAGCTGGACATCCAGGACAAAAAAATGTTAATCTTGTCTGTCTCTCGACAATTTTGGTGGCCTAGTCTCCGTTCGGATGTCACAGCTTTTGTAGCTGCCTGTCCTGTGTGTGCTCAAAGTAAAACACCACGACACCCTCCAGTGGGTCTCTTGCAAACTATAACTAATGGTGAACGACCCTGGACTCATTTGTCCATGGATTTTATTGTGGATCTTCCAGTCTCCTGTGGCAATATGGTTGCATCCTGGACTTCACTTTTGGATTATGTCATTATTTGCCATTTATTATAAAGGTGTTTTGCATCTACATTCTGTCTCTGTCTGGTTCCTGGTCCCTAACAATATGTTACCTCTTACAATTAAGAATTTCTAGAACTATTTGTTCGGAAGGAATTCCATGACATTATTTATTTTACAGGATTAACAAAATTTAATGGCTTAGTGTTCAATAAATGTCTGTGCCTTTTCTTAAAAATATATTGGTTTCACACCCAAATGAAATTTACAGTACCAGTCTATGCCTTGTATTTTGTTTTATATAGTTTATATTGTCCAACAACAAAAGATTATTAAACAGCTAGTAAAAAATATACATTATACTTTCTCTGTTTATTAAAGATACAAAGTATTATTCATCTTTCACTACAGATATGACCAGTTTCATCATGAATAAATATATACTTTTATATTTTATTAGCATGCTAACCGATAAACACAAAGGAATTATCCCTAACTTCATTGTGTACTTGCTAGAGGCAAGATTTGCATCAATGATAAAAGATATTGTGGGCTATGGTTTAGATAACAGGAAGTGTTGTAACATATATAATGAACTAGTGCAAGTGGGGGTATACAATTAATCTGTCGTTCTAACTGCAGTTAAAAAAAACAGCCACGTGGATCAGACAGCCTTGTCTGCCCACCACCCTGCATAACACATGGAGCAGCCAAGCAGAAAATCGGACATGTCCGATTGATTATTTTTATTGACATGCATGGATAGGCACCAAGAATGAACAAATGAAATACATCCAGAAATATTCGGTCTTTGATTGTGAGGGTTCGAATTCCTGCATTTGTCTGATAAAAAATAAATCTCGACTGGAAAATATGAAATGAGATTACCATGGAACTGAAGCACCTGCAAATCTTCACCAACAGAGAAGTTGAAACAGAGCCTGAGGCTGTGGTGAGAATCTAACCACAAGTAATTACAATATTTGACGGCTGGGGGGCCGTGCACAGAGACTTTGTAATCAATTGCCGGTTTCATGCTTTGCTACATCAATAGTTCCCAGAACCATGAATGATGTGCTCCGTCGACCACTGGGTTTATTATCCAAGACTTGGAATTCTATAGAAGAACATTTCTACCAGTTTCAGCAACCACCAACAATGAGACCATGACAAATGACTTGGTTCTGTTTACTGAGGTAAGAACCCAACTAAAATGCACAATAATGTAGATTGCCAAAAACATTTGATTTTAGCATAACTCAACATTTGAAAAGCTTATGAACATTGTTGTAAAGTGGTTTTTGTTTTTTTTACTTAGATTTTGGTTGAAATTACTTTTTACGCAGGTCTACATACCCCCCTTACACTTGTTTAAATTCTATGTGTGTTTGATGTTCTGTGTTGCAGAAATGATAGCTGAAAATGGGAGACTGGAATTTGCTGGGCAGTATTTTGGAAGAAGTTCACATACACTCCACCATCGTTGGCAAGATATGGCTCACTATCCTCTTCATATTTCGAATGCTTGTACTTGGAGTGGCAGCTGAAGACGTATGGGATGATGAACAGGATGCTTTTATTTGCAACACAGAACAGCCTGGGTGCAGGAATGTTTGCTATGACAACGCTTTCCCCATATCTCTTATCAGGTATTGGGTGCTTCAGATCATATTTGTGTCTTCACCATCCCTTGTTTACATGGGGCACGCACTTTACAGACTAAGAGCCTTAGAAAAGGAGAGACAAAGAAAGCGAGCCCAGCTCAGAGCAGAGCTGGAGGAACTAGACACCATGATTGATGAACACAGGCGGTTAGAAAAAGAACTCAGGAAATTGGAGGAACAAAAAAAGGTAAATAAGGCTCCCCTCAGAGGCTCACTGTTACGCACATACGTACTGCATATCTTAACCAGATCTGTGGTAGAAGTTGGCTTCATGATAGGTCAGTACTTACTGTATGGATTTGACCTGGATCCTCTGTACAAATGTTCACGCTTGCCATGTCCGAATGTAGTAGACTGTTTTGTGTCCAGGCCAACAGAGAAAACCATCTTTATGGTGTTTATGCATAGTATAGCGGCAATGTCATTGTTCTTAAACATTTTAGAAATTTTTCATTTGGGAATCAAAAAGATAAGGCAAAGTCTGTACAGTAAGCATGTTTCTGATGTGACAGAGGATGAAATAAGCATTTGCAAATCCAAGAAGAACTCGGTGCAGCAGGTTTGCATGATGAGTGATTCTTCTCCAAACAAGATCATTCCAATGTCTTCAAGTAGCTTCAAACTTCTCCCAGACCAGCAGATGGACACAGTTGGTCTTCCAGCTTATCTTCCCCCGACACAGAGTTTTAAGGAGGTACAAATGATCAATGACCATAATCAGTATGGAAAAGTTATGGTTCCTGACAAGCACAGAAGAAGTAGGGATCACATTGACACTGATCAGCACAGTGGACAGCTTAATTTGCATTGCAAACAAGAGTCACGTTATAATGAACGTCACAGAATGGGTAATCATACTGACCAGTACCGTGGTCAGGCTTTGAACCGGAGTCCCCCTGATCAGCACCTAGGGGAGCGTAGGGGGGACCAGCCACTCACCTCCAGTATGCAAAAAAGGAACCTGTCTTCTAGCAGTGAGGATTCTCATAGGAAATTACAGAACAATAACAACTGCCTGGGGTCCAAAAGCTGTCTCAAAAGCCAGCAGTCTTTGGACCATGGCCGACATGGTCCAGTACACCCCCTAAAATCTTGTCTACATTCCAGTCACATGGAGCTACCATCTGCTCTGCGCAAGTATAGCAGAGTGAGCAGCTGCAAGGACTTTGCTGAGGATCGAAGTGACTCTGCAGACAGTGGCCACCGGAAAGTTAGCTCCACTTCCAGGGGGCTGTCCGACAGCAGGCTTGCCAGCGACCCAGAGAGCTCTGACTCAAGGAATGGCTCAGGATCTGAGTCACGGAGGCGAGACGAGAGCCCGAGCATCACACCTCCTGCACCATCTGGCCGCAGAATGTCAATGGCAAGTAGAGGCAGGCAGTCATTGGCTAACCCTCTTTACAGGCTGCTGGTCTAGTCCCGGGCTAGCACGTGGTAATATCATTATGTGAATTCCAGTGATTTGCTCATTGCTAAAAAAAAAATAAAAAAAAAATGTAACAGTGTATCAAAACTAAAGTCAAAAGATGTGTGGATTTATATAATATTAACCTCTTAAGTACCAAATAGTTTTATCATACACCGGCCTTTAAATATCCTATATCACAATGGAATAGCCAACTAATTTGACAAATGCAAAATTCCATTCCATACTGGCACGGTGTATTTAGGCACTTGACTATGACCCTTAAAGGGTTACGACTGTGTGGTCCTAAAGGGGTTAATAAATACTAGGACATAATAAATGTTCTTATGCATCCTTGTGGTACCTCTTCTCTTACTTCTGTTAGCCACCAGTCTAACCTGGAAAAAAGTTTTTATAAGGATGTGTAAAAGCATCAAAACAAGTTAAACAAGGAGATTAAACTGTATTATTCAAAGAAAAAAAGGGTCCAGATTTTCTGATGCAAAAATATGAAACAATACGTTTCCTTTAGCATTTTCCATTATCTTGACATGCAGTTCTGTGTATCATTCAATTTACCCATCTCACCTAGCTAACTTGCCATATAATAGGGTATTTGATAAAAGGGCAAAGATTTAATGCCAAAAGAATGTTCCTTCTGCATGATTCATTTTTAGTACAGTCCCACTGTTTTTATATATAGGTTATAGGTTATGTCTAACCAATGACTGTGCTGCTTGAATTGACAGTGATAAAAAAAGAAAACGCTGTGCACTCCCTTATCCACTAAACAGCAACTTTGGTGCTGACAGATTTTGTTAGTTTTTTAAAAAAAAACTCCTAATCTAGGCAAACATTAATGGGGGTTTAGTTACATTATACCCCATCTTTGGCAGGTCCTACTCTAACAGCCAAATGTTTGCTTCATGAGCTACTTACTTGGGGAAATCCTTCCATCTCGAGTGTTCTGCAGTACAAGGCTAAATAGGGCCCTGGGATGAGGCACCTGTGACAGGCAGGGGTGCAAAACCAAGGAGCTGGCCTGGGACTCCCAAATATATATATATATATATGCATAGGCGTGCGCACGGGGTGTGCCGGGTGTGCCTGGGCACACCCTAATCCCCGTGGCACGCCTATGATTTGAGTCCCTGCAGGCACTCAGTGCCCCCTGTTTCACCTCTTGCCCCTGTCATGGGAGGGCAAGAGGTGATGATTCCACCCACCCTGCAGTTCAGCCGCGGCGAGGGAGCTCTCTGCTGTCTGCTCCCTCTCGCCGCGCGCTGATGCCTGGAGCCGGGATATGACGTCATATTCCGGCTCCCAGCTGCAGCAGACAGCCCGCGCGGCGAGAGGGAGCAGACAGCAGAGAGCTCCCTCGCCGCGGCTGAACTGGAGAAAGGCGCCTGCCCCCACTGGACCCCAGAGAAAAGTCCACCAGCACTCCAGGTAGGAGGCTGGGTGGACATTTTTTTTATTTAAATTAAAATATAATAATTTGTGTGTGAGTGTGTCTGTGAGTGTGTGAGTGTGTGTCAGTGTGTCTGAGTGTGTGAGTATGTGTCAGTGTGTGTTTCTGTGAGTGTGTGAGTATGTGTCAGTGTGTGTTTCTGTGAGTATGTGTCAGTGTGAGTGTGTGTCTGTGAGTGTGTGAGTATGTGTCAGTGTGAGTGTGTGTCTGTGAGTGTGTGAGTATGTATCAGTGTGTGTTTCTGTGAGTGTGTGAGTATGTGTCAGTGTGTGTTTCTGTGAGTGTGTGAGTATGTGTCAGTGTGAGTGTGTGTCTGTGAGTATGTGTCAGTGTGTGTTTCTGTGAGTGTGTGAGTATGTGTCAGTGTGAGTGTGTGTCTGTGAGTGTGTGAGTATGTGTCAGTGTGAGTGTGTGTCTGTGAGTGTGTGAGTGTGTGTGTATGTGTCGTATGTGAGTGTGTCTGTGAGTGTGTGAGTATGTGTCAGTGTGTCTGGAGGTGAGTATGTGTCAGTGTGAGTGTGTGTCTGTGAGTGTGTGAGTATGTGTGTCAGTGTGTGTTTCTGTGAGTGTGTGAGTATGTGTCAGTGTGTGTTTCTGTGAGTGTGTGAGTATGTGTCAGTGTGAGTGTGTCTGTGAGTGTGTGAGTATGTCAGTGTGAGTGTGTGTCTGTGAGTGTGTGAGTATGTGTCAGTGTGTCTGAGTGTGTGAGTAGTGTCAGTGTGTGTGTGTCTGTGAGTGTGTGAGTATGTGTCAGTGTGAGTGTGAGTATGTCAGTGTCTGAGTGTGTGAGTATGTGTCAGTGTGTGTGTGTCTGTGAGTGTGTGAGTATGTGTCGCGAGTGTGTGCGTCTGTGAGTGTGAGTATGTGTCAGTGTGTCTGAGTGTGTGAGTATGTGTCAGTGTGTGTGTCTGAGTGTGTGAGTATGTGTCAGTGTGAGTGTGTGTCTGTGAGTATGTGTCAGTGTGTGTTTCTGTGAGTGTGTGAGTATGTGTCAGTGTGAGTGTGTGTCTGTGAGTGTGTGAGTATGTGTCAGTGTGTCTGAGTGTGTGAGTATGTGTCAGTGTGTGTGTGTCTGTGAGTGTGTGAGTATGTGTCAGTGTGAGTGTGTTTGTGTCTGTGAGTGTGTGTGTCAGTGTGTGAGTGTGTGTCTGTGTGTGTCTGTGAGTGTATGAGTGTCTGTGAGTGTGTGTGTGTGTGTGTGTGTGTCAGTGTGTGTCTGTGAGTGTGTGTGTGTGTCTGTGTGTGTGTGTGTCTGTGTGCCTCTGAGTGTGTGTGTGTCTGTGAGAGTGTGTGTGTGTATATATATATATATATATATATACACACACACACACGCGCGGCGTGTGTTTGTGCTTTAGGGTGCACACCCTAATGCAATAGGCTGCGCACGCCTATGTATATATGTATATATATATATATATATATATATATATATAAAAGAAACCAGGGGGCTGGCTGCACTCACCTGAACATGCATAAATAGGGTGCTGCTGGGAGCCAATTTATACAATAAAAATGAAAATCCAGTGCACTCCCTTATCCACTAAACAGCAACTTTGGTGCTGACAGATTTTTAGTTTTTTAAAAACACCTAATCTAGGCAAAAAATTATGGGAGTTTAGTTACATTATATGATCATACATTGAATAAGCCTGCCACAATGTCAATAAGTTCCCCTAGTATGTAGCTCATGAAGCAGACATTAGGCTGTTAGAGTAGGACCTGCCAAAGATGGGGTACATTGACGTTGTGGCAGGCTTATGCAATCATATAATGTAACTAAACCCACATTATTTTTTGCCTAGATTAGGTGTTTTTAAAAAAAACTAACAATCTGTCAGCACCAAAATTGCTGTTTAGTGGATAAGGGAGTGCGCTGGATTTTCTTTTTTTTTTTTTTGTATAAATTGGCTCCCAGCAAAATTAGTGTTATATTATAGGAACACTATAGTGACAGGGATACAAACGTGTATGCCTGTCACTATAGCTGTGAAAACATAATTTAGGCCACCAGCCACTCTGTCAGTAGAGTAAAAGGTGACTTTACTCACATCAGGTGACCTGCACCCGCTCCACCTTGTCTCATATAATCAAATTTGATAATCTCAGCCAATCCAATGGTTTCCCATAGGAAATTAGTACACCAATCAGCATCTCCTCATAGAGATGCATTGCATCAATATATCTCTACGAGGAATGTTCTAGACTCAAGCAAAATAGACATTGCCTGTTCATGTTTGCCATAATACCCAATTCATACCCAACAGCAAAAAGATCATAGGTTTGAGCAGACAGCAACATTTCAGAATATGTCCTTGTATAAGCCTCCTATTGCAAGCTTACAGGGTTACACCAACCAAAGAACAGTGTTTTCATTAAACACTGCCACCATTGGCTATCTAGTGCATGCTGTGCGTGCTGGTGTCAGAGCTTAATTTTGCACAAAATTTTATATTACCCAGCCCAGAACTTTGTTCTGGATCAGCTATGAATTCTGCTGGAGGTGAAGCTACACATCTGGCAGCTAAGGGGTTCATCTTTGTATTTGCAGATCTTAACCGTAAATGATAATCACATTTCATCTCTATGTTGTGCTTGACGAATTGATAGCAGATGTCTAGATTTCTTTAAAATCAGAGATAAAAAAAAAACTGCTATTTCCTTCTCTTATCAGTCAGTTCAGTGATAAGAGGGCTGTGCTCTGCATATCTGTTAAGCCCAACTCAGGATGTCTCTCCTGCTTCACTTCTGCCTAAGTGAAAGCAATGCATGCATGGGGAAGGAGGAAGAAAGGGCAAGCTCTGTATGAGAACATGTTGATTATATTATTCCATGTTGTTATATGTCATGTGTTATTGTTCATCTGAGATTATATTTACCTAATTTTAAGATCTGCTAAGGAACAGATGATAATTGTGTCCTGTAAAACCATAGAATTCAAAGAGGGTATACTTTCTTTTTCCCATGACTGTATAAAATGAGTATCACTACACAACCACACTGCACCCACTATGCACACATTGTATTCTCTTTACACATAAAATTCACTATACACAATGCATCCACTACACACACACACACACACTGCATTCCCTTTACACACTGCATCCACTACATCCACTTTGCAACTACTGCATCCAATTGACTCACACACACTCTCTTTATTTTTTATTTTTTATTTTTTTTTTATTTTTTTTTTATTCTTTATTTATGTTGTGCACATGTTAACATACAAGTTCGGTACGCCACGATAGCTATACCAAACTATAGTAATGCAGTCAAGGAACATCAATATCATGGCAAGCATTTACATGTCACATTTTTTAATTTTTAAGAGTTGTCGTTCAGGTGGGGTATACACAGACTATGTGAGTTGGTAGGTATGTGGTTGGCCCTCCAGCTCCAGGCACTCTTATGCATCTCTGGTGTGTTGCGGCCTAAATCTAACTGGGTTACAGTGGTGGTGCTCTGTGTTCTGAAGTGCGTCCCAGCTAGTGTGTGTGCCGGAGTGTGTTAGAGGTTCGTTGCTGGCTGCCTCCGGTACTTGCCATAGCTGTATTATAGGTACTACGGTCTTAGGAGGTGTGTGTGGGGGGGTAGTGTAAGTGGCTCAAGGGGAGCTGTCGGGTTTCAGGTGGGCTGTTTGTGGGGGAGCCCTCTCTTGTGTGCACGTCAGTAGGGTTAGGTTGGAACATGTGGCCAAGATATGTATAGCAGGGAGCGGAAAAATCAACAGAAAAATTAGCAGTTTAAACAGTGTAAAACGATATAAATATATAACTGGTGCCCTAGGCCGAGTCTAAGGACGTGGTATTAGCTGGCTGTCCATCTATTCAATGTCCTCAGGTGATGGCCGCTGCCATTCCTCCCTTGTTCTGCCGTCGGGGGGAGAACGGGATCACTGTGTCCGGGTTCCATTGGTGTGGCGTGCGGCCTGCCGCCTCCGCTGCGGTAGATGACAGGGCGTCTAGAGGTAGGTTGAGGGTGGGTAGTGTGGCCTTTGCCTCTTCTAGATCTCTGATCTGGAGCTTGTTTCCCCCGTGCTGGATCAGTAAGGTGCGGGATTGCCGCCATTGGTAAGGAATCTGCTTCTGTCGGAGGAGTGATGTGACGGGTCGGAGCGATCTTCTCCAAGCTAGCGTACTCCCTGATAGGTCCGGGAAGAAGGTGAGAGACATGTCCTCAAATTTATATGGCGCGTGGTCTCTGACCGCCGCCATCACCGCTGCTTTATCTTTTCCGCTCATTAGTTGGATGACCATGTCCCTCGGTACGTCGTCCCGTGCTCTTGGGGATTTGGGTACACGAAAGAACCCCTCTATTCCCACCAGCTTGCCCTGTCTTGGGGTAAGTATAGTGCTTAGTAGGCGCCTCAGGAGGTGCGGTAATTCCGCTGTCGGCACTTCATCCGAGATGTCCCTAATCTTTATATTATTCTTCCGCCTCCAATCCTCCATTGCGGAGAAGCGGCGTTCAGCTTGTTCGCTGTGGCGCTGGAGCCCCCGAACCGCCTCTTGAAGTGTGGCAATCTGTTGGGCCTGGGTATCGGACGCGGCTTCCACCACCGCCAGTCTGCCCGTAAGGCCTTGTAAATCCGTGCGGATTAGTGCAACATCCGTCTGGATGTTCCTCTGGAGATCTGCCAGGAGTGCTTTCAGCACCGCTGCCGTCACTGGTGCGTTGTCTCGGTCGGTGTGCTGTTGGGCAACTTTTGGATTTGCAAGTGGGATCTCGCTGTCCTCGTCAGGGGACATGTCGTCTGAGAGGTCAGAGTACGTTGCAGGATGGTCGGACATCTTTGGTCTCGTCCCTCCACTGGCCTGCCGCAGCATGTCTCCGATATCAAAGCCTATCCGTGTCTTTTCTGGCCTCATTTTCTTTGATTTGCGACCCATGGTGTGTCCACAGTCTCGTGGGGGGTTCCCCTGTCGTGGGTAGCCCAATTTTAGGGTCTTGTGCGGTAGTTGTTTGGGTTCCGCGGTCAGAGCTCAGACAATGTGCGGCCATTCAGCTCGCCCGCTTGGCTCTGCCCCCATTGTTTTTATTTTTTTTATTAATACTTTATAAAAAATTTCCATTTTACAGCAGACAAATACAAATAAACAAATAATATATCTACCTAACTCTTGCTCAATATAATCGACTATCCGTACATAGGTATCAATATCTCAAATAGCATACACACACACTCTCTTAAAGGACCACTATAGTGCCAGGAAAACATACTCGTTTTCCTGGCACTATAGAGCCCTGAGGGTGCCCCCACCCTCAGGGACCCCCTCCCGCCCGGCTCTGGAAAGGGGAAAGGGGTTAAAACTTACCTTTTTCCAGCGCTGGGCGGAGAGCTCTCTGCCTCCTCTCCTCCGATCCGCCCCGTCGGCTGAATGCGCACGCGCGGCAAGAGCTGCGCACGCATTCAGCCGGTCACATAGGAAAGCATTCATAATGCTTTCCTGTGGACGCTGGCGTGCTCTCACTGTGAAAATCATTTAAGCTGAAGTGGTCTGGGTGCCTAGAGTGGTCCTTTAATGTACACACTCTGCATCCTATAAATACACACACTCTGTATCCACTGTACATATACAATACACACACCATGCATCCTCTATACACAGGGCTGGCCTCAGGGGCGTGCAAGCTGTGCAGCTGCACATGGCACCCTGGCAGCAGGGGGTGCCATGTGGCTGACACAGCTCACACATAAGGAAAATCCAGAGCTCTAAATCAAAGCAATTCTCAGTATTATGTGACATACTTAGTCAGCCCCTCTGTAACACAGAGAAGGCAGTCTGGCAACTTCTGCCTGCACTTCTGTTCGCAGAAGACCACAAGTAGCTGTCTTCCTAGTTCGGCCAATCAGAGTGTTGCCGCGGTTTACCACAGGAAAGCTCTGACACTGCAAGTGCCTGAGCATGTGACACAGTTACGCATGGTCTGCACCCAGTGGAGGAGCAGACCAGATTCCCGGCACACTGGAACGCCAGAGATCAGCATGCCCCTGTCCAAACAAGGTAACAACAGGAAAGGAGGAATTTGTTTTTAAATCATTCTTAATTTAATAAATCCCCTATACAAACACTACACCTCTATACATACACTATACATAAATAATTGGGGGACGCTGTAAAGATTTTTCGCACAGGGCGCCTTAAGGCTGGCCCTGTCTATATACACACTGCATCTACTATACACACACTGCATCCACTGTACTCATCCCTGTAGGGACGAACTTGGGGGTGGACACTAGCTAGCACTTGTTATATCAGTGAAAAATACTTGAAATGTCCTTACTATTTACTTGCTAACTTTACTATTTAATGGCAACAGCAGTTCTCACCGCAGGATCAATTTTTTTTTATTTTTGATGGGTTTTTGTTTTTTATGGAATATAATTTTTAGTGTGGGAAAGAGAGAGAGAGAAAGAGAGAGAAAGAAAGAAAGGTTAAAAAAAGCTCACCTTGTAATGTTACACACAAACACAAAAGCATATCACAGTGGTCCACTGGCACATAGAATTATACTTGCAAACACTCTAGTGATAATCCTCAATTTTGCCTACACTAAACTGATGTATGCTACCTAAATAAAAAGGCACAAACATTTCTTATAAAAAAGCTGTGGCCCTCTCCAGATTTTTTGGAACAGTGTCCATTTACAATCTCACTGGAAAAAATGGCAGGGGGGAAAATAACAAATACAATATGTAACTGATGGCACAGAAGACACAAAACATTGCTATTTATTAAAATGCTACAATTTCCACAATCTTGCTCCCTATATTTGACACTATTGTCTTACTTTAAAGGACCACTAGAGGCAAATTATGTGTAAATAGTTTTTTGTTCCTCTTTTGCCTTCACTTCTGATTTCTTTAGTATCTGTTTACTTTATAGCTTTGGTGTATTCTTATTCTTTTGTCCTTCCCTCCCTCATTTCTTTGATATCCCCACCTTTTCCCTACCAGTCCCTGTTACCCACCCATCCATGTGGTAACCCCTTCCCTACCAGTCCCTGTTACCCACCTATCCATGTGGTAACCCCTTCCCTACCAGCCCTGTTATCTGCACATCCTGCTGTTAACCCCTTCCCTGCTAGTACCTGTTATCCACACATCACTCTAAAAACCCCTTCCCTACCAGTCCCTGTTACCCACCTATCCATGTGCTAACCCCTTCCCTGACAGTCCTGTTATCTGCCCATCCTGCTGTTAACCCCTTCCCTGCTAGTACCTGTTATCCACCCGTCACTCTAAAACCCCCTTCCCTACCAGTCCCTGTTACCCACCTATCCATGTGCTAACCCCTTCCCTGACAGTCCTGTTATCTGCCCATCCTGCTGTTAACCCCTTCCCTGCCAGTACCTGTTATCCACCCATCACTCTAAAACCCCCTTCCCTACCAGTCCCTGTTACCCACCTATCCATGTGCTAACCCCTTCCCTGACAGTCCTGTTATCTGCACCATCCTGCTGTTAACCCCTTCCTGCTAGTACCTGTTATCCACCCGTCACTCTAAAACCCCCTTCCCTACCAGTCCCTGTTACCCACCTATCCATGTGGTAACCCCTTCCCTGACAGTCCTGTTATCCTGCCATCCCTGACAGTTGTTACCCCTGCTAGTACCTGTTATCCACCCGTCAGTACCTGTTATCCACCTAAAACCCCCTATCCCTAACCACCCCTTCCCTACCACCTATCCATCCCATCCTAACCCCTTCCCTGACAGTCCTGACCCAGTCCACAGTCCTGTTATCTGCCAATCCTGCTGTTAACCCCTTCCCTGCTAGTACCTGTTATCCACCCACTCTAAACTCCCCTTCCCTACCAGTCCCTGTTACCCACCTATCCATGTGCTAACCCCTTCCCTGACAGTCAGTTATCTGCCTGTTTGTTAACCTAGTACCTGTTATCCACCCGTCACTCTAAAACCCCCTTCTCTACCAGTCCCTGTTACCCACCTATCCATGTGGTAACCCCTTCCCTGACAGTCCTGTTATCTGCCCATCCTGCTGTTAACCCCTTCCCTGCTAGTACCTGTTATCCACCCGTCACTCTAAAACCCCCTTCCCTACAAGTCCCTGTTACCCACCTATCCATGTGGTAACCCCTTCCCTGACAGTCCTGTTATATGCCCATCCTGCTGTTAACCCCTTCCCTGCTAGTACCTGTTATCCACCCGTCACTCTAAAACCCCCTTCCCTACCAGTCCCTGTTACCCACCTATCCATGTGCTAACCCCTTCCCTGACAGTCCTGTTATCTGCCCATCCTGCTGTTAACCCCTTCCCTGCCAGTACCTGTTATCCACCCATCACTCTAAAACCCCCTTCCCTACCAGTCCCTGTTACCCACCTATCCATGTGCTAACCCCTTCCCTGACAGTCCTGTTATCTGCCCATCCTGCTGTTAACCCCTTCCCTGCTAGTACCTGTTATCCACCCGTCACTCTAAAACCCCCTTCCCTACCAGTCCCTGTTACCCACCTATCCATGTGGTAACCCCTTCCCTGACAGTCCTGTTATCTGCCCATCCTGCTGTTAACCCCTTCCCTGCTAGTACCTGTTATCCACCCGTCACTCTAAAACCCCCTTCCCTACCAGTCCCTGTTACCCACCTATCCATGTGCTAACCCCTTCCCTGACAGTCCTGTTATCTGCCAATCCTGCTGTTAACCCCTTCCCTGCTAGTACCTGTTGATGCTTTTTCATTTTTAAAATGTTTTTGATTTCTAATTTATAGTGTTTTCCTGGCTGTCGTAGCACACCTAGAGCACAGAACATAATTTCAGGGAACTCAGCACAATATAAAGCATTGATAGTGTAATCTACACTGACGAGCCATATGTACAGAGCTACAGTTGTTTGTTAGTCAAGTGGACATAATCAAGAAACTAGGAGAATGGTAGTTTGCTAGAGAGGGATCTCATTTGGGCTGGGGATACTACAAGCATAGGTTCAAAGGTCAAGACTGACTGGGTTATTCACTAAAGACTGCAAACTCCAGAAAAAGTTAAATGGAATTCATCAATGTCCAGATATTCCTATATAGTCCCAGAACAGGCATGAATTTGAGAGAGATTTACTCTGAACCAAAAAACATTGAAATTTCCTCTGAACCAAAAAAACAAACATTGAAATCTCGGCCTGGAGACTTCAACTCCAGGCCCGGATTTAAAAAATAAATATAAAATCTATACTATTTGCCACATAGTTAAAATAGTTAAAAATGCTCATCTGTGCAAGGGTTAATAAGGTGGTGGCCGGCCAGCGTAATAAGACCCCCATATTACTATAACAGAGGTGTTTTACCTCCATATGCCCCCACCTGCAATGCGGGAGCATGACTACTAAACAAATGAGCAATCGCAGCCATTGTTGGGTGCATGTAATGTGTGTGGTATGTTCTGGCTGTATGTGATGTGCGTGATGTGTGCTGGCTCTAGGTGATGTGTGTGTGTGGTGTGTGCTGGATCATCTGGTAGTCATACAGACAATTAAAATACTTAAAATACTTCTATTATGTTTGTAGCCATATATAATACATTTTATGTCAATTTGTTTTATAACATGAAGGGAAAAAAAAGTATGTATCTGCTCAAAATGAAATGCGGATAAAATGACATATCTCAGCCGACGTGCAGGAGTCATTTTCCTATCCCCATACTCGAGCTATGCATAAACATGCTGTTAGGAGACATGGTGAGACTTGAAAAGTATAGAAGTAAATTGATTCCCAGGCTTTCTGTGAAATCTATGTACTTTCTGAAAGAGACAGCCATACTTCAATTTAGGTTCAGCTAACATAAAAGTGAGAAGCTGATTAATGTTACTCGTTATATTCCAGTAAGTCTGAATTTTATAGCCAACATGCAACCACTAGCTTTTCTTCTTGGAGAAATTTCAGGTCATTGACCATGATTGAAACGTTAGTTGTAGTCTGGTTGTCTGAAAACATCATGAGGTCAGTCAGAATATAGCTTTGATTTGAAAAGAGTTGGTTAAGGATTTTTCAGATGTAGTGATCCAGAATAAAAATGGAGGGTTTTCAAATTCTATGCTGCCTCTCAATCAATTTACCATCTAAGTCTGCTTTATAACACAGCCAGGCAGGCCCGGACTGGCCATAGGGCACACCGGCAAATGCCTGGTGGGCCGCGGTGGCCAAGCGCTGAGGCCGGCAGGGGAGGTCACAGGATTGCGCTATCTGAGCGCCGGCCCCACTGTGTTCCATGACGGGCCGGTGGGGAGATCAAAGATGGCCATGGCAATGTTCTGGGCTAGAGTTCACTCACCACTAGGACCACCAGGGATTGCAGCACGGTCCCCCCTCCCAGGTAAGAAGGGAGGGGGGATAAAATGCCTGTTTTTTTATTTTTATAATATTATTTAAATAAGTAAATACATTTATATTGTCATTAACCTGCTTCCCCCAACACACAATCCCTCCAAACACACAGCACCCCCCCACACCCTCCCACAGCATCCACATGCACCCTAACACACACAGCACCCTCACTCACACACTACACACCTCACTCACACACAGCACCCTCACTCACACAAAGCACCCTCACATGCAGCACCCTTACACGCAGCACCCTTACACACACACACTGCACAACTCACACACAACACCCTCACACACACACATACACTGCACATTTCACACACACAGCATCCTCACACACAGCATCCACACACACACACACACACACACACACTGCACCCCTCACACACACACATGCTGCACCCCTCACACACACACTATACTCCTCACAAATACACACTACACCCTTCACACACACACTGCACACCTCACACATACACACAGCAGCCCCCAAACACACTGCACCACTCACACAAATACACGCACACACAATACTTCCAAACATATATGTATATATACTACAGAACCCCTCACACACATGCTGCACCCCTAAACACATTGTGCTTTAATCACTACAGCGCTTCATACAGCTTCGAGGAATGAACAGCGGAGATACCTAGTCGTGATCTCGGAGCTCCGCTACAGACATAATAATGCCGCCCTCTGAAGTATGTGCGCACGTGCGGAGAAGCCGCGCATGCGCACAAGGGAGCAATGACGCTTCCAAATGGAAGCATCTGATTGCTCCCTGCTCGCGCCCGCCTATTTCGTCATTTTGGAATGCACCGTAGTAATTAATATACTGGGTCAAATAACCTGTAGTGGTAAACGGATGAGATCATATTACCACCAACACAGTGGTTCCTGATAAATCTCAGTAAATCACTGTTTAGTAAACATACACTAAGTATTAGATGTAGAATTGCTTTGGAATACACCATAGTAATTAATATACTGGGGCAAATAGCCTGTAATGGTAATCGTATGAGATCGCATTACCACCAGCACAGTGGTCCTGATAAGCATCAGTAAATCATTGTTTAGTAGATATACATTGAGTATTTGATGTAGAATTGCTAATGAGCACACTGTGCAAAGGTTGGTATAATAGTATCAATGGCTGGAATGGCTACATATAAATGTAACAGTAACAATAATTGTGTTCACAGTTTAAAAAATGTAGCTGAATCTCCTACTGATTTGTAAGGAGACAAACCTAATACATAGCTATGTCAGATACTGTAATAGAGTGGGGAAAATTGGGGATAAGGATGATTGAAGGAAATAAGGGTTAAATAACTTGCCCTTTTGTGCTCTAAGGGCACCAGAGGGGAATAAGAATGGGAAATAGGAGTAAATTACTTTCCCTATTTTGCCTTCGTGGGCACCCCTTACCCCTAAGAAAGTCCCTATCCTATTTAACAGTGATCGTCACCCCAACCACCCGTGTAATAAAATGGATAGCAAAATCCTTGATAGCCGAAATAGTAAAGATGTGTAAGGTCTTAAGTGCCAGATTGCAGTGCTTAAGAAAATATAGTGAGAACAGTGAAGCCCCTGGCCCCTGACGCGCGTTTCACTAAATTAGCTCATCAGAGGGGAACCGGACCTCTAATTTTGCTGGTTTATAAAGGGGAGGCACCAATAGTCTTTGAGATTTATCGGGAAATGTATTGGAAAGAAAAAATTGTCACATATGTATGGGAGGAGGAGGACTTGAGTCTGAGAATAAACCTTGTTACGGAAAAACTTATAATGGATGATCAGGTCACTAATTTCATCGGATAGAACCGATAATTGTAAAAAAGCAATTGAAATGACACACTGGATAATTGTGAATGAGTTGCTATTTACATAAATTATTTATTATTTGGAAAATGTAAAGAGTTTGACCATTGATGTTATAGTAACCCAGTGATTTAAGGAGTTCTACATGCAGGAACCCACATGTAAACAATACAAGTGAAAAAATATACTAAATGAATAATTACATTATTATATTCATTGTAATGATATTTAATGGTAGATCGTTTTGTTATATTAAATTCAGTTGCTGTGTTGTTGAAGGTTAAAACGAGATATTCCCATGGGATATGGTTGAAAATGAGTGTATTATTAGTCAAATACTAGAAAATGCAACCACTGCGTGTAAGTTAGTTAGTACAATTGGTAGTATGCCGTGCTGTCATGTGAGAAAAAATTACCGCAATAGAAGGGCGGATGTCCATTGTAAAATATCCCATTCTAATTTAAAAAAGGGAGAGAGATCTCTTGATAAACCATTGTATAAGTGGTTATCCTGAATTGATTATATTGGGGATAGTGGATGGAAAAAAATCATTAATTCCCATGATGATGATATCATTTTTTGGAAGATACCATGTTTCAGAAGAAGCCTATCCTATAATGAAACAGAAAATAAATGAAATAATGAGATTAAAATAAATAAAAAAAAGTGGAAAAAAATGATTAGAATAAATGCAAATGATACAATAATCATAGGCGTGCGCAGCCTATTGCATTAGGGTGTGCACCCTAAAGCACAAACACACGCCGTGTGTGTGTGTGTGTATGTATCTATATATATATATATATATATATATATATATATATATATAGATACATACACAAACACACACACATACACTGCTGTGTGTGAGGGTGCTGTTAGTGTGATGTGAGGGTGTTTGTGTGTGTTTGTGACTGTGCTGTTTGTGTGTGAGGGTGTTTGTGTGTGTATGTTTGTCCTGTGAGGGTGCTGTTTGTGTGAGTGTCGTGTATTTGTGAGGGTGCTGTTTGTGTGTGTGTGTGAGGGTGTTGTTAGTGTGCTGTGTGTGAGGGTGTTGTGTTTTTTTTAAAGGTGCTGTGTGTGTTTGTGAGGGTGCGGTTAGTGTACTGTGTGTGTGTGAGCTGTATGTGTGTAGGTGCTGTATGTATGTGTGCTGTATGTTTGGAGGGATTTGGCAGATTAGTAAATCCTTGCTGCCATGTGCCATCCCTGGTGGTCCAGTGGAGAGTGAACTCTAGCCTGCGGGGCTAGAGTTAACTCTCGCGAGATCTGAGCATTGCCACAGCAACACTCAGATATTGCGAGAGGAACCTGGCGGAGCTTCTGTCTAGAGCTCCCTGGGTCCTCTCCTGCCTCCCTCCATGCTGCTGTGGGCCGGTGAGGTAGATCTTTGGTCTCCCCGCCGGCCCATGGAGGCTTAGAGCAGAGCCGGCACTCAGATAGCGCCGGCTCTGTGTGTGTGTGTATATATATATATATATATATATACGTACACACACACACACTCACAGACACACACACTCACAGACACACACACATTCACTGACACACTCACACACACACATTCACAGACACACACATACACTCACAGACACACACACACTCACTCACAGACACACACTCACACAGACACACATTCACAGACACACACTCACTCACTGACACACTCACACACATACATACACTCACACACACACACATTCACAGACACACACACTCACACAGACACACACATACACTCAGACACACACACTCACAGACACACACACTCACAGACACACACACACACATTCACAGACACAAGAACAAATTATTACATTTTAATTTTAAAAAAATGTCCACCCAGCCTCCTGGAGTGCTGGCGTGGACTTGTCCCTGGGGTCCAGTGGGGCGGGTGCCTCTCTGCAGCTCAGCCGCGGCGAGGGAGCTGTGTGCTGTCTGCGCTCTGCTCCCTCTCGCCGCGCGGGCTGTCTGCTGTAGCTGGGAGCCGGAATATGACGTCATATTTCGGCTCCCGGCATCAGCGCGCGGCGAGAGGAAGCAGAGAGCAGACAGCCCCCTCGCAGCGCCTGAGCTGCAGAGAGGGGGGGGATCCATCACCTCTTGCCCCCCCCATGAACGCTGTTCCTGCAGGACTCAAACCATAGGCATGCCACGGGGATTAGGGTGTGCCCAGGAACACCCGGCACACCCCGTGCGCACGCCTATGACAATAATAATGATGCTTTATAATGATAATGGATAAATAAAAGAAAAATGATACTGGGTAAAAATTAATAAGCCAAGATTGTGGTGGCTAATGACTGAAATGTGAGATATTAACTGTAAGTAAATACCTATAGGGACAAAGACAAAAAAATCATAAAGATAAATGTGATGACTGATGATGATCCTTTTGTTTGTGGATTAAAGGAAATAGAAGTGGACATATGCTCATTGGAGCTAGCTTATCCATGAATAAAGGGGGTGAAGTTGAACTCTTCGTTTAGACCTAGAGGTGCTAATGTTTCAAAGATATGTATCCATTTGGATTCTTGTTTTAGTAAGCCAATGAGCGTATATCCACTTCTATTTCCTTTAAACCACAAACAAAAGGATTATCACCAGTTATTTTTTTGTCTATAGTACTATCTGTCGTGCTTTGTGGCTAGTTCTTGGTCCAGTCCCTTTTTGGACTTTTTATTTTTATTTATTAAAAGTTAAGTCTTATCATAGGTGACATTTCACCCTCTTAGTATTCTATTGTCAGTACCAAGTGTTGCTTTGTTTCTCGTTTGTCTAATAATAATAATTATAATAATAATGTCAAACTAACTTACTGACATTCTACAAAGAAATAAAAAAAGATCACGGTGTTGCAGTGATTGTAGTTGGATTTTGCATAGGCAGTTTATATGGTGTTCAAACTAAAAGAAATTTGTCTAGATGAAAATTCTTCTTATTCGACAGAACATTAGCTTAAAAATTAAGTGCAGAGAGTTGTTATTAATGGTATATTTTCAAGCTGTACAAAAGTGGTAAGTAATGTCCCTTTAGGGTCCTCTTGTGAGGCCCCTTCTATTCAACATATTTATAAATGATCTTGATATAGGCATCAAAAGCCATGTTTTTACAGTGTTTGCGGATTACACAAAACTCTCTAAAGTAATACCTTGTGAGCAAGATATTACTTTTCTGTAGAGTGATTTAAATAGATTGGGGGACTGGGCACTCAAATGGCAGATTCATTTTAATGGAGATAAAATAGAAAATTTGCAGTTGGGGTGAAGAATGCACAAGTTACTTACACCTTACGTGGTAGTGAACTAGGGATAACAACAGATGAGAAGGATTTTGGAATTGTTATAGACATCAAACTAGGCAACAATGTGCAATAGCAATCAGCGGTTTTATAGGCCAGTTAGGTATTGTCAAGCACAAAAAGAGGAATTATCAGGATGAAAATATAGTTTTCCTCTTTATAAGCCAATAGTAAGATCACACTTAGAGTATAAGATTCAATTTTGGACAACTGTTCTAGAGAAGGATATTATGGCACTAGAAAAAGCGCACAGACGGGCTACAAAATTAATAAAAGGATTGGTAAATTTTAGTTACAAAAGGTTAACAAATTGAAATATGTTTAGTTTACAGAAACGGCACATCAGAGGGGATATGACAGCATTCTACAAATATATTTGGGGCCAATACAAATCATTGTTTGGAAATCTGTTCATAAACAGGACTATAAATAGGGCACAATGTTGCCCATTTAGACTGAAAGAAAGGAGATTTAGTCTAAGGCAAAGGAAATGTTTTTGTTTACCTTAATTAATTTTGTTTACAACGAGGATATGAAATTCTCTGGTTTTATCAGAGTCTGTACATATGTTTTAAAAGCACCTGGATGAATAAAGTTACATCCATCATTTTATCTATCTATCTATCTATCTATCTATCTATCTCAGTAAAAACAAGCTGGACTTAATAAATCTCTATTTTGTATTTCTTTCCCTACTCTTCTAACCAGTTGTAGCTCTGTTTTTTGTTTGGAGTTTATGAGAAACATGATATACTGATAATTGTAGTGTTTTGGGCTGTTGTTGTTTTCTCCTAATAATTTATTATTGTGCTCAATTTTAGGTTTATAGCTTGCGTATTTTTTTATTTTGTTAAAGTGTTTTTACCTATGAATTCATCAGACAATGGGATTTATTCATGAAGTATTAAATGGTAGTGAATGGAAATTTGTTTGTCTATATAAGCAAATACTTGTACCGGTAAAAGACAATTGTTCACGTGAGTTGTTTTTGTTTTCTATTGTTTTACAGAGCATGCTCCTAGAATTGTCTTCCATCATGAAAAAATAACATCTCATGTTCTAGGAAACATTTTTTTTTTGTGTGAATTGCTCCGTGTGTGACCTATGTACACAAATCAAATATAAAAGCAGAAATGTGAGCGATTTATCCACCAATTATCTCAATCCTAATCTAAACATCAGTGTACTCCATGTACCACTTATTTAAGAAGTGAGGACACCACCGTGGTATGCAGAGGCACGGTGCAACTATGGTTTTTCAAAAATGTATCACTATTAAACCTGTAGATGTACACAGCACTTTACCAGCAGAAAATCAACTACAAGAATACATGAGGATACCAGACAAACACAGGACAAGGGCTGTAGGACCAACTGTCATCAAGAGTCAAATTGCGTAAAAAATATTAATGACTGTGTGCAACGGGGAATCTCAAATAACCAGCCTATGCAGGAGAAAATGCACCAATAACCAGACCTGATGCCAAGAGCAAACACCAGCACTGTGTGATCTCAATATTTAGAGAATGTGACCAGGTCCCAGAGCTCAAGCTTCTAATATTACTAAGCAAGAATAGGCACCATTATTTATACATCATTTTCTACATGGTACATATTGAATTTAGGTACCTAAATGGACAAAAATGTATACATAAGTGAAATATTGTGGACAATTTTAAGCCCTCCAACTATGAACTAGGCGGAATACCCACCACTATCAGCAAGTGAAAAGAGGAAATCAGAAATCCAACAATAGTAGTATGCTGTCAGGTTACCCTCATGTGATCTAGTCCAATATTGATTCTACAGAATGTTTTTAAACAGAATATTTTGCCACAATGTGCCACATTTCAAAGAAGCTTGGATGTGACTAATACATGTTTTATATTTACTTTTTTTTTTTTTACACTAGCCTTTAAGTACATAACCTTCAGGATATTCTTTGAAATAACCAACAGTTAAAATGTGTTGCCCTCAATTCCAATAAAAGGAGTCCATATTCCTACGAGAAGTGTTTTTCGTCTTCTGCAGCCATGCTAAGTCTAAACAATAGACAGTGCCAATGTCTATAAGGCCAGTTGATCAGTGGCCTAGTGTATGCTGTAACAATACCAGTTACCATTCCCCACTTCCTATCGGCTTCTTGTTTGAGGGCTGCGTGAGTTGCCCTGGAAGCCACCTAGACTCCTGGCTTGGGCCTTTTCACTTCCACTGAAAACTAGTGCGTGATGTCATTGAAGTCAGGTTAGCGGAAAATCAGGACCACAACCGAGTAACCATGTCAACCCGCTTCTTCCTGGGCCTTGGCCTATGTTGATGCATCAGTAGATTAAGATAGTGGGGAAAGAAGCCAGAACAGAAATAAGGGGCAGTGAGCAGGATTCCTTTGTGTGCGAGTCCTAGCCTCTTGGGAATCCACTGATCTGAATGTTTTTTTACTGATTGTACACAACACTTACGCGATTACTGGTACCTTCACTTTACCCTAAGTCTTGATTGCCTAAGTGGCTATTGATTAAGGTGGCTTCCTAGATTATCCCTATATTGGTGAAATACATGTCTCATCCTACAGGCTAGCTGAGCATCATGGGAAATGCGATTCAATAACATCTGCAGTTTGAGCTAATATATATTTAGCATCACCGTTACTTAGTTTCTGGTGGCAATCTTGTAATGCTGGCACTATAGGTGATTGTCAGCTACAGTTACTGTGATTCTCAGCCAACCTATAGACAAATAATTAATTAATATGAATATCAGTAAAAGGGAGCATGAGTGTGCTGTAGGTGGATCCTAGGGGGGAGGCAAAATTAGTTATTGCATAAGCCAGCAAATATTCATACAGACCCTAAAATATCACAGCCTAATTTAACTTAAAGGGACACTCCAGAACCTTAATGCACTTTAGATTGCTCTATGCAATTGTTTTAAGTGCTTTAGGTGTGAAGAGTGTGTCCTCTCTTTTTGATTTCACGAACAGTCAAATTTCATTAGAAATTGGCACTTTTATAAATGAACCTTGCCACATGCCCCTGGCTGTCAAACAGGTCCTGTTACTTCCTGGTTTTGTTAACTTATTGGAGCGATCTCAAAAGGCAGGCAACTTGCAAAGATTTGTCTATGAGCTGCATTGGGAAGTCTGTGATTGGACAGACACAGAAAGTCTTGCCTGGAGAAGAATGGGAGGGCTTCCAAAAGCTGTAGAAAAGATATATTCAGTGTTTGCAAGCTGTTAATAGATATATCCCAATGAAACATGCATAATTAAATAGTTTTTTTTTTTACATATATTTTTTTTTTTTGTAATGAGGCAGTGGAATGTCCCTTTAATTATATTCTTTTCAGAGATCAAATGTAGATCAAAACTAGATTCAATTAACAAGTTTTATATCAACCATTAAACAACTAGTAGCCTCCTGGTAAATGTGAAGGAGGTCTAAATTGTTAAGACAGAACAGAAGAGCAAGCAACTCTTGAACATCATTTCCATATTATTTTCTAACAAAGGTACTGGGGTACTAAACTCTTGCTTCCTTCACATCCCTAAAATCAAAATAGATGTATAGACCATCTTTTAAAATTCACATTCACCCTGTCACCAACAAGTACTTTTTAGTTTTAAACAATATGTTGCCCTATAACATTTAAAACATGGGACAAATAAATAACATATAATATACTTACATAGTTACATAGCTGAAGAAGAGACTTGCGCCCATCAAGTTCAGCCTTCCTCACATATGTTTTTGCTGTTTGCATATAATATGTAGGACAAAGCCATAATGTAGTGCCTACAGTCAGGTCCATAAATAATGGGACATCGACACAATTCAAATTTTTTTGGCTCTGTACACCAACACAATGGGTTTGAAAGAAACAAACAAGATGTGCTTTAACTGCAGACTTTCAGCTTTAATTTGAGGGTATTTACATCCAAATCAGGTGAACGGTGTAGGAATTACAACAGTTTGTATATGTTCACCAGAGGGTTCACCACAAGATGTAAACCATTGTTGAGCCTCAAAAACAGGAAGGCCAGATTAGAGTTTGCCAAACAACATCTAAAAAGTGGGAGGCACATATACAAACTGTTGTAATTCCTACACCGTTCACCTGATTTGGATGTAAATACCCTCAAATTAAAGCTGAAAGTCTGCAGTTAAAGTTAGTTTCATTTCAAACCCATTGTGTTGGTGTATAGAGCCAGATTAGAAAGATTAGAATTGTGTTGATGTCCCAATATTTATGGACCTGACTGTATATTGCTATTCAGACATTACAATGATGTAAATGTATCAGTTCAAAAAATCTATGTGTTTGTCCTTTATAGAAATATCGGGGGAGAGGGCATACGTAGTGTTTTATTATATAGGATATCTTTTATTCAGCAGTACATCAAGCAGAATATTAAATATAAGCATAGCAGAAATACCAGTTTTTATTACACACAATAGGTGTGACAAAAATAGATCAATTAAATAGGTCAACTACTTTTCTTATGTAAAGATTCGAAAAGCATGTTCCTAAGAATGCCACCAGAAAATAAAAAAGTTGTTGCCTGGCTAAAATATGAAATCTATAGAATACAGGTATGGGGAAGACGTACCTTATGATCAAAGGCCTTACTCTTCACTTACCTGATTGCTAATATTCAGTCTTTAAAGGAACACTATAACGTTTGGAATACAAACGTGTATTATTAAAACTATAGTATCCTAATCCAAGAGAAATTTGGTTTTCCAGCAACGAAATTCACATGGTGCTGCTGCACACTCTGCCTCCTGCAACATCATCCTGGAGGTGTCACTTCCACAATGAGTGTCCAATCAAATTCTCCTCATAGATGAGCATTGAGTATGAGATGTGCATGCATGCCCAATCAAATGCTTCTCATAGGATAGCATTGAATTCAATATTTCCCTGTGAGATGCATTTGAAGACGTTGTGTGTCCTCAAGGATGTCAAATGTCACATGACTAATGAAACTCGTTTTTCTTCCTGAGATCTAATAAACATCAATGTTTTAAATTAAAGGGATACAACTAAAAGGACACTGCACCCAGGCACCTTTATTGAGACAAAGTTATCTGAGTGCCTTTAGTGACCTGCAAATATTTTCAGCCTCTTGAGTTGTAGATTGGGGGTGAGGGTAGGATAATGGCAAAGACATTATGGAGCCCCTTAAAGAGAAATATATCGATCAGGTAAAAAACAATGCTAGAACTCAAAAAGGGAAAGAGTTAATCTGCGTTTTCCATTCATTTGCTAAGCAAAACAACATCTAGCCCATGGATAGGCAACCTTCGGCACTCCAGATGTTGTGGACTACATCTCCCATAATGCTCTTATATCCCTAATGCTGGCAAACCATCATGGGAAGTGTAGTCTAAAACATCTGGAATGCCGAAAGCTGCCTATGTCTGTAGTAGCCCATGAATATATGGGTTTGAAGTGAGGAATTTAATATAAATCTACATACAAATTAAAATCATTTATTGATATCCTATACTTGAAAATGTTATCCTGTTTCATGTATCCCTCTGTAGCCCTGTAACTTATGAATAATTTCCAAATTAAAATATAGACAAATTCAGTTTCTGCAGTTGTCAATAACAATTATATCATAGCCAAACTGTGTGAAGAATTCTTCCCAGGTATGAATCTGGTTGCCTGTTGGAAACTGAAAACTAGATTATATTACTACTTAAAGATGCTGAATTGAGTTTCTGTAAATGTTTTTTTTTCATTGTGACAAATAAAAATGTTGTTGATCTGTACATTTGCCTTGAAGTGTCTCATTGACCTTGTTATTCTCAGCATCTTTCTAGTGTCTTTGTAACCTTATATCCATCTTAGTAAGACTAACTTAGAGTGTAAAACTTGACTTTTATAATTCATTTTTAAAGAAAAGGAACACCCTCCTATAGGTGCATGAGTGTCTCACTGTTATTTGTGTGATAAGTAAAATGCTTGGTATCAAACCAGTTATTTATTGCATTGCTATAGAAATTTCAGCAGATGGCGCTGTAGGATACAGTTAGATAATTAACTCTTTTGGTCCAACAGAATGCAGTAACTGTGTTAGAATGACAGTATTAAAAGCCAGTGTTAGAAGCTGATAAAACTAGAGGTTGAGATTCAATAACAAGAGTGGTAGGTATAGTTTGAATATTATTACAAGAATCGACACAGGGCTGGTATATGTCAGATGCCAGGTGTGGCAAACTCCCTTCTCCAAGTAAATTTGCCACAAGCTCTTGGAGGAGCCTGCCTGCCAGCCTCCTGCCCACAGACTATGGGCCCTGCAGGGAAACCTGTAAAAGACTAGCAAACTTGACCGACTGTTAGCACTGATTTCATGGAACTGTTTTGGGCATAGGACCATGTGCACGTTCGGTCAAAATTATGACTTCCAGGAAATTCCTGAACCCCTGAACTGATCTGGGAAATTTCCCGATATGTTGGTCACCCAGATCAGGGCTATCAGGGGATGTAACATTTGTGGGGTTTTATGTATTTTTAAGCAGAGGGGAGGGATTGTGTGCTGTGTGTGGGAGTGTCGTGCATTATAAGCCTGTTGTTATTGGTTTGTAAGTTTGTGTCCCAGTCCCCAACAAGGTCCATGTTGGTCGTACCGCTTGCATGGGGTTTGTCATATAAGGCCAAGTGTGGCACCATTAAAATCTATTCCAGCTTACACTCCAAAACTGTGTGTCGTCCTGTTATTGGAGGGATAGAAGATTTACTCATGTGTCCGCTGTTTCAGTTTGCAGGGGAGTAAAAGGGGAAAGTCCTTGTAAGTTGCTGTTTCTGGGAGAGCAACCCCTAGAGGAGTGGGTAAGAGAACTAGAGCGGTTGGTCGAAATCGAGGTATGGTTAGACTAATTATACCGGGCCTTACGATGGCATGCAGGTCACCTCTACCCAGGGCTACTCCCCTGGCAGCTCCCTGAGGGAAAGGACTACGTTGGGCCTGGGCTGTTGTGGGAGGCTTTTGAGGATCCCCTGGGGTTTGAAAGCCTGGACAGAACCCGCTATGGGTGCATCCGCGACAAGCAGGAAGTCAGCTTGGGGCTTACATTGGTGGCAGAACTGCAACAGGATTTGTCATATTTGGTTAACCTGGAGAGTGAGCTTGCTCCAACATGTAATGCCACCTGTCTCCGACAAGATGGGGCTTATGGACTGTATACCACCAGGAGCATTGAGTTTCGTCCCTCCTCCCCAGCAACTAATCCTGTCATCAGGAGACCCGGACACTGTACCACCTACTTCCCAACCAGTCCCAGAGATAGAAGACCTTATTGACTGGTCCTGGGAAGACCCCCAGTTGGCAGGTGGATATGGGACCGAGGTCTCTCCACTGACCCTACAGGGCTGCTGGGCAGCCGGCCCAGATCTCCAACCCAAGATAGATATGTTAGGAGTAGGGACAGTTGGTCCCTCTCCCCAGCGGCAGTATGCATCACAGTCGGTCCTTCCTCCCCAGCAGGCGAGTGTGTTGCAGGGAGTGGAGACAGCTGGTCTCACTCCCCAGTGGCAGTGTATACTACGGGGAGTGTAGACAATTGGTCTCACTCCCCAGCAGCAGTGTGCAGTACAGGGAGTGGAGGGTGTCGTCCTTCCTCTTCAGCGGCAGAGTGTATTATTGGGAGAAGAGACGGTCGGTCTCTCTCCCCAGCAGCAGAGTGTGTTACAGGGAGCGGAGTGTGTCGTCCTTCCTCCCCAGTGGCAGAGTGTATTATTGGGAGAGGAGATGGTCGGTCCCACTCCCAAGCAGCTGGGGCCGTCATCCTGAGACAAGCCCCCTGGCTTGGATGGTGCAGAAGGGATCAAGGTCTCTGCACCAGCCCTACAAGAATGCTGGGCAGCCTGCCCAGATCCCCAACTGCCCATTCCCAACCATGTTCCAGGTGCAGGAGAGGGCAGTACTGACATCCTTCCAGTAGACGAGCTGGCATCAGGGCGGAGCGCAGCCCATCAGTTCCGGGACCTGACGACAAACAGGCCACCCCAGCTGAAGCGCTGGCTACAGGGCAGAGCACCGCTGGCCTCTGCCCATCAAGCACAGAGGGCTTTGTAGATGAGGTCCAGGGAGAGGAAAGTGTCTCTCCCCAGTGGCAGTATGGGTTACAGGGAGAAGGGACAGAGAAGGGGGAAGATATGTGACAAACTCCCCTCTCGAAGTGAGTTTGCCACAAGCTCCTGGAGGAGCCTGCTTGCCAGCCTCCTGCCCACAGACTATGGGTCCTGCAGAGAAACCTGTAAAAGACTACCAAACTTGACCAACTGTTAGCACTGATTTCATGGAACTGTTTTGGGCATAGGACCACGTGCACGGTCGGTTAAAAGTATGACTTTCAGGAAATTCTTGAACCCCTGAACTGATCTGGGTAATTTTCAGATATGTTGGTCACCTAGATCAGGGCTATCAGGGGATGTAACATTTGTGGGGTTTTTAGGGTACTTTTGTGTTTTTTAAAAAAGTATGTTTTTTCTGTGCTTGGAGATAATTGGATTAGAATTAGTACAGTTACTGATCCAATTATCTCCAAAGCAAAGGAGAGGGATAGTGTGCTGTGTGTGGGAGTGTCATGCATTATAAACCTATTGTTATTGGTTTGTAAGTTTGTGTCCCAGTCCCCAACAAGGTCCATGTGGGCATACCGCTTGCATGGGGATTGTCATATAAGGCCAAGTGTGGCACCATTAAAATCTATTCCAGTTTACACTCCAAAACTGTGTGTCGTCCTGTTATTGGAGGGAAAGATTTACTCCTGTGTCCGCTGTTCCAGCTTGCAGGGGATTCAACGGGGAAAGTCCTTGTAAGGTCTAGAGCTAATTCCCCATTCGGCTCCAGGAAGGAGCAGTTCCAGGGCCACTTGGGAAGAAGTGCTGCGGTTTGTCCCAGTTAGGAAGCGGTCCTTGGTGGAGGTACCCAGCCAGGGGTAGAGGGAGCTCTGCTACACCAGGTATAGACTTCTAAGTGGGCCCCTGCTCACCCTTTAAAAAAAAGAAAAGGATACTATATACTTTTAATTTACTTATTATAACTGGACATTGCAGGCAGCAGTGTATGTACATGCATGCAGTGTCAAAAATAATTTTAGAAGGGTTTAGGGTAAAGGGAGATTTGAAGGGACGTCACCAGAACAACTAAAGCTTAATGAGTATAGTTTGTCCCTGTAGGCTCTTTTAATGAAAACACTGTCGTTTCAGGGAAAAAGCAGTATTTACATTACAGCCTAGGGACACCTCCAGTGACCACTCCTTAAACAGCCACTAGAGATTCTTCCTAGGTCAGTGCTGATTGGCCAGGACAGCGTTTGGCTCCCCCTACCCCTCTACTGCCTTACTTCATTGGCTGAGACCATCAATGAATTTATGATCTCAGCCAATCCAATGCATTCCTACAGCGCCAGCAGACCCACTCAGGGCTGGAAATAAGGTTCGTTTTTAACTTATATAAAAGGCAAGGGAGGCTAAATAGTGATTTTAACACTATAGGGTCAGAAACACACATTTGTGTTCCTGACTCTATATTGTTCCTTTAAAGTTAGAAAGGGGTTATTGTCAGAGTTGGATTAAATATGGTGTTAAAAGGATTAAAAGATTGAGTGGGGTTCAGTGGCGGATCCAGGGGGAGGAGCAACGGGGCAATTGCCCACCCCCAGAGAAAACTGAGCAAATCAAGGGTCTCCCTCTCACCTGCCAGCACATGCAGGTGCTGGCCCTGCAATATGCCTTCACAAACTGGATGGGAAATCAGATTCGGATCTTGCGAGAGTGAACTTTAGCCCTGGAGCTGTGGGCTAGAGCTCACTCTCACCACTAGGATCACCAGGGATTCCCCACGGACCACCAGAAATGCCCCCCTCCTCCTCAGTAAAGAAAGGAGGGGGGACATAATGTATATTTATTTTAATTAAATTTAAATAAACAACACATATAAGAAGGGTAGGGAGGCTTTTTTATAATATGTGTTGTTTTTTTAAATTTAATTAATATGTATGTATGGGGGCAGTGTATGTGTGTGTGTGTGGGGGCAATGTGTGTGATAAGAAGGGTAGGGGGGCTTTTTTATAAACACACACACACATTGCCCCCCCCACTCACACATACACGGCCCCCATACACACACTGACCCCCATACACACATTGCCCCCATACACACACTGCTCCCATACACACATACACATACACTGCCCCCACATACACATACATTGCCCCACACTCACACATACACTGCAACTGTCACACACACATACTGACCCACACATACACTGCCCCCTAACACACACTGCATTTTTAAAAATTTAATTAATATGTATGTATGGGGGCAGTGTGTGTGTGTGGGGGGGGCAATGTGTGTGTGTTTGTGATAAGAAGGGTAGGGGGGCTTTTTTATATAATCACACACACACACACACATACACATTGCCCCCCCCCACACACACACATACACTACCCCATACACACATTGCCCCATACACATACACTACCCCATACACACATTTCCCCCCATACACACACTGCCCCACATATACACATTGCCTCATGCACACACTGCCCCACATACACACATACACTGCCCCCCATACACACACTGCCTCATGCACACATACACACACACTGCCTGCCATACACACACACTGACCCCCCATACACACACACTGACCCCCCATACACACACATTGCCCCACACACATACACTGCCCCCATACACACACTGCCGCCCTCACTCACACACTGCAACCGTCACAAACACCCACACACTGCCCACCTCACACACACACACATTGCACCCCTTACACATTGCACCACTCACACACACTACTGCTCCTATGTCCTATGCCCCATTTCCCAGCAGACCTCAGGTAAATTGTCCCGGCACTATGGACACCATAACCACTACACTGAGCTGTAGTGGTTATTGTGTCTGGATTATGTCTTTAAATAATCTACAAGTGCCCCTTCTGAGATCAGGCTCCGGATCCGCCACTGGTGGGGTTACAGTTGTGTTAAAATGGGTGTTTAGTATTGGGAGAAAATAGGAGTTTCGTTTTTCGGATGAGTTAAACTTAGGCTTCAGTTAAAGAGGCTTTTCCAGGTTTGGACACATGGGGGATAGGGGGGAACTAATGGGATGCATGAGGGCTTGGGGGGAACTAATAGGACACATGGGGGCTGGGAGGAACTAATGGGACACATGTGGGGGACTAATGGGACGCATGGGGGCTGGGGGGGAACTAATGGGACACATGGGGACTGGGGATACTAATGGGACACATGTAGGGCTGGGGGGGTTTGGGGACACATGAAGGGCTGGGAGGAAATATGGGGACACTGGGAGGGGTATAGGGACACATGAAGGGCTAGGAGGGGGTATAGGGTCACATGAAGGGCTGGGAGGAGGTATGGGGACCTATGGAGGGACTGAGGGAGATAATAAGGCACATGGAGGTCTGGGGGTTAATGAGACACGTGGAGAGCTAGGGGAATGGATTGCGACACAGAGGGCTGGGAGATGGATTGAGAAACATGGAGGGGGGCTAATGAGTCACATGTTAGGCTGGAGGGGTGGAATGAGACACATGGAGGGCTGGGAGGGGGGTTATAGGGACACATGGGGGGGCTAATGAGACACATGGATGGCTGGGGGTATAATAAGACATATGGAGGGGCTAATCAGACACATGGAGGGGCTGAGTGAGCTAAAGAGACACATGGAGGTCTGGGGGGATGGATTGAGACATATGGATGTTAGTGATGTTCCGAACGGTTCGTCGGCGAATAGTTCCCGGCGAACATAGCATGTTCGCGTTCGCCGCCGACAGCGAACATATGCGATGTTCGGTCCTCCCCCTATTAATTTACTAATACTAAGTAAAAATTACTTAGTATTAGTAAATTGTGCCCCTACTCGCAATACCGCGAGTAGGGGCATGTCTATTAAACAGTGAGCAGCCTGTGGCGGCGGGTGGGGGCCATATTGATAATGAGGGGGGGTACCTACTGTCCTCCCCCCCGGCCCCCACCCCTGGGCTGCGGGTGGGGGCCCTAAGTAAATCCCCAAGCCCCTAGTCACCCCCCACAAATAAAAAGTCCCTACCTACCCCCCTCACCCTAAAAAATAATGAGGGGGGAATAAAATAACTAACCTGTAAAATAAAAGTAAACTTACCATTCGACGTCTTCTTTTTTCTCAAATCTTCATTTTTCAGCCCCAAAAAAGGCAAAATAAAAAACCATCATAATTATCCTATTGTCCTCCCCCCGGGGCAGTGGCGTAGCATGGGTTGTCAGCACCCGGGGCAAGGCAAGTAATTTGCGCCCCCTAACCCGTGGATTTTAGCACTCGAGTCTCTTCCACTAGATTAGTTAAAGAAACCCTTACCCCCCAAGCACATGTATTGTTTGTTATGAAAATACTTATGTAATTAAAGTAAAATGCATCTAAATATAAGTTTATTTTCCAACACTTTATTGAGTGCGAACATGCATTACACACATTCTCCACATTTTCAGCAGGTCTATGAATACAAATATACAAATGTAGTAACCTAGCATGGGCCATGCTATTATATGTCGTCTCACAACCATCGTAAACGACAAAAAATATCAAGAACAAAAACTAAACATCAAAATGGAACCATACCCTGGGCTAGATGGAGCCAACTTCCTCAATCCTGTACCTCTAATTGTAATTCTTTAATAGAAGTGCAAGATATCAATCTGTATATAATATACAGATTAATTTAAATTTGCCTGCTTTTAATTAGCACAAATTTTTCAACAACGGAATTGAAATCTACATTAAAGTCTCTCTCAATGGACAGTATTGCTAGATTACTCAGTCTTTCTTGGCTCATTGTAGATCTCTGATATGTTTTAATTAGTTTAAGTTTTGAGAAACTTCTTTCACAACTCGCTGTAGAAACAGTGATAGTAAGAAAGATTCTTAATGTGACAACAAAATTAGTTAAACTTTCTTGCAGCTTCCACTTATACACCCAGCGAAGCAAATCTAAAGCTGACCAGTTTGCAACCTGCTCATCAGGATTGACCTCCTTATACAAGATAATGTGGTGCCGAAGTCGAGTTATTTCAGTGAGCATAGATGCAGCATTCAATTCCGTGTACTGAGCACACGTGTGCTGAATTTGTTTCTTAATAAAATCATCTTTTTTAGTATCCAACAATGTTTGAATTTGCAAAAAAGCAAATCGATGGTGCAGCGTATTCATCTGCGTAGTAAGTTTTTTAATTTCTGCCTGAAGCTGATCAATTGCTTTCAGTTGTTCTCTGCTTGTTTCCTGTATTAAGGTCAAGCCAGCATCGCAACTGTTCTCACCATCCATCTTCTTGCGTCTTCCAACTCTTCTCTCTTTAGGTATGCAATAGGCTTTGCATACCTGCAAAGCTTTCTCAGTTGCCTTTGACACTAGACTATCACGTTTTTCATGACAAAATAAAGTCAATGCTTTTAACTTTTGCACGCATTGATCAAGCGCAAGTCCTTCTTGCTGCAGGTAGATCTGAGTATCATTTACTTCGGTTAGTACTGGGTTCCAAAAATGCAAGAAAGAGAAAAAAACATATGTCATTATGCAAACTAAAATACTTCCTGCATCACCCCTGGTTTCAGAGGTTTCTTCCGGCCCATCTCTCAACGCTTCCAAAGCGTCTATTATTTTCTCAGTGTGTTCAGCAAGTACGCATACAGCTTCATGCGTTGAACTCCATCTTGTGTTACACGATCGCTTTACACGAATTGGTACATGTTTCTTAAGGATATCGCACCTGTGGGTGGAGCTTGAGAAAAATGAATACACCTTTTCCACAGTGCCAAAGAAAGTAACAGACTTTGTCCCAACACCAACTGCATGCATCCCAGCAAGATTGAGCGAGTGATTGTTACATGGCACAAACATTGCTTTGGGATTCATATCCAAAATACGTTTTTGTACACCACTAATGTGTCCTGCCATAGTCGCAGCATTGTCGTATCCCTGGCCGTAGCAATGCTCTAGTTTAAGGCCATCAGCTTGCAACTTGTCACAAATTTGTTTTGCAATGACATCAGCTTATTTCCCATATAACTGAATAAAGTCAATGAAAGACTCTGTCACATGGACTCCTGAATCTTCAATATGCACATATCGAATCACTTGGGACATTTGGTCAGTGTGTGAAATATCAGGAGTGCTATTAAACATTATAGCAAAATACTTGGCCTTTATGATATTTTGAAAGATGACTGTTCGAATGTGATCGCCGAGCAGGCTAATAAACTCATTCTGGCTCTGTGGAGAGAGATAGGACACAATGCAACCATCTGTGCGTTGTACTCTGTGAAGATGTTGTTTGGCAACTGGGTCATATTTGGCGAGTAACTTGAAAGTTTCTAAGAAATTTCCACAGTTACCATCTGTATTTAAATCTTCAGAGTGACCACGTAAGGGTAAGGTTTGCCTGGCTAGATACAGAATACAATCAAGTATTCTGACTAAGATTGCCTTCCATTTTTCAAATGACCTCTGTTGTGCAAGCTGGGCAGCAGCATCAATAGTCTCCTGTTTATGCAGCCGCATTTCTAATTCTTTCCATATTGTAAATGCACTCAAGTGATATGAACTGCGCTCATGCTCTAGTAATTTAGGGCTTAACTTTCTCCATGCATTAAATCCACTTGACTTTCCAAATGAACTTTTCCCTTTAGCCTTCTGAAAAAGCATGCAAGGAAAGCAATATGCAGCATTGTTTACAGGAGAAAACACCAACCATGTCCTTAACATAGTCTCACCATTGTCCAAATGTATGTAGAACCAATCCTTGGAAAATGACCTGCCATTACTATCTCTTGGAAACCATGCATCCTTATTCTGCAGTTCCTCTGTCCCTTGCCTGACAAGTTCAGTTTTCAAGGTTTCATCCATGGTTTCAGGCCAATAGCCAATAAGGTATAAACTTTTTGGTCAATATTTTCTGGCAGATTTGGCTGAGTATAAACATCCTTAGATGAAACTGTCTCTGCTTCTAATGCAGGAACAGGAATGTCTACCGACACAGGATCAGGATTATGAGTCTCCTGTGGTGCTGCTGATGATGGTCCTGCTGTAATTTCAGCAGTACTCACCAAAAACCGGTGAAGGCTTCCAGCTAACTTAGCTTGTTGCACTGTCTCTATCTTTCTCCTTTTCCTGCCTTGTGCACCAGATTCTTTTTCTACATACATTCACAATTTCAGTCCAACATAGGCGTGCGCACAGGGTGTGCCGGATGTGCCTGGGCACACCCTAATCCCCGTGGCCCGCACTATGTGCCTCCATGGGCCAGTGAGGGAGATCAAAGATTTCCCACACCTCCGCGCAGGCAGGGAGGCAGGAGAGGACCCGGGGAGCACTAGCCAGCAGCTCTGCCGGGTTTCCTCTCGCGAGGTCGGAGCATTGCCGCAGTAAGGCTCAGATCTCGCGAGAGTGAACTCTAGCCCCGCAGGCTAGAGTTCTTTCACCACTGAACCACCTGGGATGGCAGCAGCACGGTCTCCCTCCCTACAAAAGGTAAGTGAGGGGGGCTATTTCCTAAACGTTCCCCCACAGTCCCTCCAAACACACAAACATCACCCACACACATACAGCACCCACACACATACAGAGCACACACACATACACCCTCACACACACAGCACCCTTATACATACATACACACTAACAGCACACTCACACTAACAGCACGCTTCCACACACAGCACCCTTACACACACACACACACACACACTAACAACACCCTTACACACACACACACAAACAGCACACACACACACACACACACAAACAGCACACACACACTAACAGCACACACATATAGCACCCTCACACACAGCATCCTTACACACACACACACACACAGCATCCTTGCACACATACCACTGTCACAAACACACACACCACCCTCACAAACACTTACCGCCATTACACACACAGCACCCTTACACACATGCAGTACCCTTACACAAACACACACACACACACACCACCCTCACAAACACACACACACAGCACCCTTAAACACACACAGCGCCCACACACACAGCACCCTCACGACGTGTGTGTATGTGCTTTAGTGTGCACACCCTTATGCAATAGGCTACGCATGCCTATGCAGTCCAATTACAAAACTTTCCTTAATATGTCAAGGTAGTTGGACTGAAACATTGATTATATGCAAATGCATGTCTGCTTACAGCAAATCCACTCTTTTGTTTATTTTGAAGCCCTATGAGTACTTTCTTTCATGTTTGAGTGATAGTTTTCAGGGTTTTTTTCGCGCTTTCATATCTGCACACTATGTTGTCGCAGTGCATTATTGGGCTGGTATAGAATTTGTTTCCAGGGCTGCTTTTCATTCCCAGTCTGGCCCTCGTTCAGGATCTCTGTGCTCTGTATGGAGACGTTGAACTTTCTCCACTTATGAGGAGATGCTGACTAGTCAGGGCAGCGTTGGGCTCCACCTTTACCCTGCCTCCTTGGCAGAGATTATCAGAATTGTGTATCAAAACTATCAACGCGTTTCGCCCGTATAGACTGTGCTTTTCCAAGACGTTTTTATTGAAAAAGTCTGGTCTACACAGGTGAAACGCATTGATAGTGCTCAGTGGTATCATAGCTGTTGAGACACTCACAGCAGTTTCAGCGGTAGCAGTTGTTGACGTCCTTCCGGTGTGCGAGTGAATCATCCCGGCTCAAGTGCATGGAGTGGTAACCCTTTGCTGAACAATGTGCTGACCTGAACTTTGTGCCATACTGGTGGTCTTTGGAAACAAGGACCACATTTGTTTCTTGTAAGAGTTCCTATAAGTTAAATGGGGGATTTAAATAAAGTAATAGTGCTATACTATGTTTCTGTTTTTTATGATCTTCAATGTGGATACAGTGTTTCCATTGATTCGATACAGAAGCAACAGAATTATATTGGACAATTGAGCTACTATTAATATACCCTCTCTACTCCTTTGTCCTTAATATTTAGAAATTGGATTTGCAACTCTGGAAATTTTTAATACAAGTTTGTGATATCCCTGTGAAAGTTGATAATGGAATATCTGCTAAGCGCTGATACTATTTTTGTAACAATTTTAATATTTACCTTCTCAGATCATAGAAGAAACCAACAAGATAACACACTCTCTCTACTTTTATGCTCACATCTTTCATACCTACACCTTCACACCTACTTTCATTCAACTATGCTTCACACCTTGAATTGATTGGTCATTAACTTTTATCCACATGGAGTTAGATTTTCAACTTGAATTCCATGTAGCTTGCACTGTGTATTTCCTATCCCTTAAGGGTATTTGCCCAAAGATCCAAAGAGGATGTATCTAAATGCACTACTGAGAAAGGTTCAGAGGGAGAATGAATGCTATTTCCAAATATATGGAGGTGGGCAACTAATAATAACCTGCTGTCATTGCAATAAAAGTGCTGAAGTGCTTTAAAAAGTAAGTGTTAAATTGATTCCAGAAGATCTATAACATCTATTCCCATTTTTAACAGTGTTATTCAGACAAACTCCAGTGAGAACGCCTGGATTCCGACAGTATTGGCAATTCTCATGCTTACTAAAGCGATCCAACCGATTCTGTAACATTAGTTTGGATGATTTCAGAAAATCACTAATATCTGCATCCAAACTAATTCACAGTACCGGAATCGGACCACATGGAGGCCAATGATAAACTGAATGCATACAGCAGGATACACATTCGCAAATTATCCATCACTTGCTTTTACCATGTAAATTGATCATTTGATTAACTATTTAGCGCTCCCAGCTGGAAATAGTTTAAAACCCTCGGCAGCGCAACAGGTCAGCGATTGTTGCCACATTTAAAATCTAAGAAAAAAATAACATAAATAAAAATCCTATTGGGGTTATCTGGAATGAAGGGGCATGTCTACTAAATATTAAAAAACTAGTGACTGGGCAGCCATTATTGTCCCAGTCATTAGAAAAGGCCACATTCCATGGGGTGGGACCTGAGAAATAATGGGCTGGAAACGGTCCCCCTCTAGTCCCCATCTGTGAGCATTGGGTGGATAATGCTTTAAATTTAAAGGGGGGGGACTATTGTCCCCTCCCCTGGCCCCAGGGGCGGGCTGGAAAGGGGAGCAGGGGGGCAATTGCACCCCAGGCCGCCGTAAACCCAGGGCCACCCGCATCCTTCAAAAAACTGAAAAATCTGAATCCCCTGCCTTTTCAACTCCCCTCTCTCCCTGCAGCCAGTGGAGTCGGCCGGCCTCTCCTGATGATGTCAGAAGGAGAGGGCGTGACTTTCACTGTTCTTATCCCAGGACTGCTAGGGAGTGCTTTCCCAAATTGTAGCCATCAACCTACTTCAGCCCCTATCCCCCCCCTACATTTCCTAAATTACAGTGTATACCCTCCACTACCGCCCCTGTCCCCTTACTCAGCCCCTGTCTACTGGTTTTAAAAGTGTAAAGTTTGGGTGTATGTGTGTGTACAAGTATGTCTCTGTGTGTGTACGTGTGTGTGTGTGTCAGTATGTCTGCATGTGTGTGTGTGTGACAGTATGTCTGTTTATGTGTGTGCCAGTATGTCTCTGTTTGTGTGTCAGCCAGTATGCCTGTGTGTGTGTGTCAGTATGTATGTCTGTGTGTATGCCTGTGTGTGTGCAAGTATGTCTGTCTGTGCAAGTATGTCTGTGTGTGTGCCAGTTTGTCTGTGTGTGTGTGTCAGCCAGTATGTCTGTCTGTCTGAGTCAGTATGCCTGTAACAGTGTCTTTATGTGTGTCTGTGTGTGTGCCAGTATGTCTGTCTGTGTGTGTATCAGTATGTCTATGTGTGTGCAAGTATGTCTCTGTGTGTGTGTGCAGGTTGTCTGTGTGTGTATGTGTGTGTGTGTGAGCCAGTATGTCTGTCTGTCTGAGTCAGTATGCCTGTAACAGTGTGTCTTTCTGTGTGTGCTTGTGCCTGTCAGTGAGTGTGTGTTTTTTAGTGTGTGCCAAATCAGCAAGTGTGTGTGTGCCTGTCATTGAGTGTCTGTTTAGGTGACTGCCCCCCTTTCAATCACATGGGAAAGGTGTTTTTACTCTCCTCTTGGTGCAATGGGGCACTTGACTGGATTTGCCCCCAGGCCTCCCTTGCCTGGCCCCACCCATACCAGCTTGTGTGGTCCTAATATCAACAATGTAGGAGGTTGTTAAGACTTCTTTCCTGACTGGGGGACTTAGTTGGCCAACCATCACCTGGATAATTGAACAATTTATATTGAACAGACCATTGTTGATTCAGCTGGTTCGGAAACATAATCAAACCAACCAACAGATTTTTTTTGGTGCAGTTTGACAATTCGTCAATTTAATGATAAAAGTTAAAAATTTTTAAAGGTATAGTTTTAATTGAGCTCTATGAGAGGCACAGAATCAAAGTAATACTAACAATTCATTGGTTTAGTAAGTTATCTTTCAAATTCAAAAGTTCTGACGTATACCATATGTTATTCTTGATAAATTGGGGATGTTTTATACCCCTTAATTGCTGATCACCTGATAAACTCTTAATATTCTTATATTATATGTCTATTTTTTTATCACTGCAAACGTATCGTACTGCAAACATTGTGCTCTTATCTTCAGATATATCTATGTTAATGATATCTATAGAATATCACTTAAAATACAGTTTATATAATAGTTTGTTTACGACTTAAACCTTGCTTTCGTGAAGCACTGTAGGCGAATGTTGTGGCGGATGGGTACAAGATAGGAAGAGAAAAACAAGTTTATCTAAGGTTATATGAGGGTATGTCCTCAGTTAAATGTGATTCAGTATGAGTTAATATATTTATATGACTTGAAATCTTATCTCTGTTTGTTTATGTTCTTAAAGTGGTGTAATTTTTAATTTGGCATAGAAAATGGCTCTGTTAGGTTCAAATTGTCTAACTGGCCCATTTCCTTGTCAGTGGGTGGAGCTCTAATATTAACATTAAGTGGGATAACTATTGTCCGATCACAAAAAGTGTGATTTGGCTTTTAAAGAGCTCTAATTGGTTGGCTAACTAAGGTTTGGGGGCTTATTATTATTTGGAGGGGTGGACGATGGCATGTCCCCCCATTAATTTTCTTTTTATTCTGGTAACTGGGGTGCAGTGGCTACCCAGCCACTAGTTTTTAATATTGAGTAGAAATGCCCTCACCAGATGGCAGGTGGGGATCATATGGAGTAGATAAACTCCATTATATTAAGATTGGGTCGTATTGATCCCCATAGGAGTTTTATTTATTTGTTTTTAGCAAGTGCTCACTAGCCACCACATAATTAACCCTTGTGCAGCTAAGAGTTTTTAACTATTTGCCCAAATAGTATAAATGACAAGCACACCCCCTCTCAAAGAGAGCATGTTGGTTCTATGCTTTTCTAGGACAGCCCATGTGCAGAGCCCTGCGGACTTGCTCTCGCATAAGAAAAAGGCCCTGTATTTGTTCTGTCCAGCGCAAGCAAATTCATTAACATGCTTGCACTGTGTGTGCTTGAGACCTGTCTCCATAAGTGGGATACCAGAGGACAAAAGGACCAGGATAATATATTGTGCATGTGTTTGGAGGCTGCTTATGGAATTATGTGTGTGTGGAGTCAGCTGATTGCTGATAGCTAAAGGCTGTAGAGAGTGAGATAGCATTGCAGAAGGGGCATAGTGTGTATAGGGGGTGTAGCGCATGTGTGCATAGGGGCTTTTGTGTATGTGTGTATAGGTGATGTAGGGGATGTAAAGTGTGTGTTTAGAGAATGTAGTGCAGTTTGTGCCTATAGGGGATCTATTGTGTGTGTATATGTGTGTGTGTGTGTGTGTGTTTAGAGGATTTAGAGTGTGTCATGGGGTTCTAGTGTATGTATGTGAGTGTGCACTGTGTGTGAGGGGATGCAATGTGTATGTGAAGGGAGCAGTGTGTGTGAGGGGTGCAGTGTGTGTGTGAGAAGAGCAGTGTGTGAGGGGTGCATGTGTGTGGAGCACAATATGTGTGTGTGTGATGGGTGCAGTGTGTGTGAGGGGGCAGTGTGTGTAAGGGAGGCAGTGTGTGTGTGTGGGGCACAGTGTGTGT